CCTGAAATCTCCCCGATGGCCTCATGCAAAGCACACTTGGTTACACTGATTGCTCTGGATCATGCATAAAGTCTCAGCCACTCCCCATCAGCATGGGAGCGTCATCAGTGCCACGGGCTGCAGCCCTCTGTGGCTCCCAGCAAGTGTTGCTGCAGGGCTGGATGCATCCCGGTGGCGTGTGGCAGCGCTGAAGAGGTGAGCTGGGTTTGGGGAGGGGGCATGTGTTTCTTGGGGTGGAGGTGGAGAAAGCCTAGCTTGGGGGGGCTGCAAGTGCAAAAGGAGGGTAATTTTTCCTGTTGCGTGGTGGTTACTGGAGAGGAAGTTTTCTTGGTGCTCCGTTGCTGTGCTGCACTGGTTGGGTGCACAGAGGAGCTACAGCAGGGGCTGTAATTGTGCTGTGAGGGCACCTGGGCAGGTTCTGCTCTTGGGTTGGGGGGGAGGGGGGCGGTGAACCAGTTTGCACCTGAAATCAGGGTGAGGTATGTGAGGTGGTTATGTGCCTCCCCTGGGGCTGCATGGTGTGGAGGAGGTGGGTGGCTGGGCAGTGGGTCTGCTCAGGGTTGCGGTGTGGGGCTTGGGGCAGGGTGGCCATGGACTTTGGCAGTATGCTGGGGCTGCGGGGGCAGGAGCAGCTCTGGTCTGGCTTCTACCCGCCCACAGGATGCTGGAGAAGGGCAGAGCAGGGCTGTGCTGGGCATTTCCAGCTCTTCAGCGGCTCTAGGTTTGCCAGCTGCTGTCTTCTGGCAAGGGCCAGCGTATTGTGGGGTAAGTGCCCCAGGAACCCACTGGTCACCCTGTTCCCTGGGTTTCTGGGTGATGCTGTTGTCTGGCTTCAAGGCTGCTCTCAGAATGGGAATTTTGGTGTTTGTTCCAGCAGAGCTGATGCTGCTGCCCATTTGAGGAGCCAGCAGAAGCTGCAGGCTGTGCTCATCACCTCTTGCCCCTCTGCCTCTTTTAACGCCCTGGAAGCCTCCTGGATTTCTGCCTGCTGATGCCAGGGTGCTCCCTGGGACGTGGGTGTCAACAGCCCACAGGGCAGAAAAACTGCAGGAGATGCTTGTTCCTCCAGGTGAGGAAAAGCACCTGATGGTGCTTTGAGAGTAAGGCACGGAGGTTTTCTCCATGGTTTATCTGTCTTCACTAAGCTCCAGTTTTTGACTTTCCATTTGTGTGATTTTTTTAATCCCCCCCCCCTTTCTGAAATGGTTGCATTAGCAGGGTTCTAAAGATTTCTTTTCAAGATAATTATTCCAGATCTCTCTAGTGGATTTGCCATCTGATAATGTGTCTGCATGGGTGTATTAATAGTATCATAATATTATATATCAGTTTTCATCCCAAAACGCTTCACACGCTGAGGGGCGAAGCCTAATTAGAAAGATGTGGCAAGTGAAACGGAGCTTTCTGCCTTGCCTACTAGTCCCTCAAAGCCATGGGGTGAGAGAGGAGCCTTCTCACCGGTGTTGCACCAAATCTGCATTTGGCCCCCTGAGTCCTGTTGAAGCCCCCCAGGCTGGACCCGCTGCCCGGCTCGCCCTGCCTCACAGCTGGGCAGGGCTGTTCTGCACTGCTCTGTTACTGAGGCTGGTCCTCAGTGGGCTCCCTGCCTCTGACGCTCTCGCTGCAGCTGATTGCCTTGCCAAGCTGCAAACAGCAGTCTGCATCCTTCCCCCTTCCCTATTCTTCTCATTAAAGACAAGTTGCATGGGGCTGGCTGTCCCTGCAGCCCAGCAGTGGTGTGTCAGCTGTGGGGTGTCCCTCGCTGAGGCCGGGTCAGGCGGTTACTAATGGTCTGTGCCAGGCACCGCTTGCGAGGGCGGATGAAGTGGGATCCGTGCTGTCACCTTCCCAATGGCTACATCCCCCAGCCTCACTGGGTGGGTGCCCTCTCCCACTTCTCCAGGGCCACGCTTGGCTTTGGTCTTCTGCCGCTCCTTCTGCATGAGCCTGTGCAAACAGGAGGAGCATTGCACTGTGCTGGGAATTCGGAGACAGGGATAAGCACACTTTAATCTCTCAAGATCTGTCTCCAAACACCTGCCCTTGCATTTGGGGCTGTAGAAGGTGAATATCACGGGCACAGCTGCATTTCCTCCCAGATACCTTTCACCTCCTCCACCGGCCCCCTCCCCTCCATGCTGCTGGGCTCCCTCTCCATCCCTGCCCTGCCTGTCAGAAAGGCTGGGAGCCTGGAAAGGGAGGCCAGCCCTACACCCGCTCTGGGTAGGCAGCAGATGCCACTGAGCCCTGTGCCATGGTGCCACCTTCCCAGCAGGGAGGGGGGAGAGTCAAAGCTCTGCAGCGGGGAGGAAACAACCCTGGGCAGCGGCAGCTGACGGTTGGTCACGGGCTGCAGGGCGTGCAAGGGACTATGCAGTCCCACTATAGCACAGAGAAATGTGCTCGAGGCTTACTCCCTGCAGCCTGCCATCACCTGTGGCAGTGTTGCAGCCCTCCAAGGATTTGGGGTTTTGATGGAGCAAGAGGCTGGCCCTTTCCCAGCAGGGCTGCAGGCACCCCAGGGGCGGCTGAAACCCGTCCTCTGTGAACACCACCTGGGCCAGAAATGGGATGATGGCTGCAACCCTTGCTTTCCTGAGGGGCTGGGATGGGGAGCATGAGGTCTTGCACAGAGGACAGTTGGTGTTGGACAAGCTGCTTATGTAAACCCGTGTTTGCAAGGAGCCTCCTACAGAGGTGAGCCATCCAAGCAGGGCCAGGTGAAGCTTGGCAGCCTGGAAACCAGCTGTGTGCCAATGTTTGGGGTCAAAACTACTAGGTTGTGGACATTCATATGAATAAGCAATTGCTTAGAGACTTTAGACCCTTGCTTGTCTCAAAAATTACCAAGGGAAGCCCTGACAAGTCCAGCTGGGATCTCCCATGTGTTTCCTCACCTGCGGTGGCTTTGGGGAGGGAGCAGAGCAGTGGCACTTTGGGGCGTTGCATGTCACAGGAGGAGCAGGGAGCATGAAGTACGGATGGTCAAAATGTGCAGAGGTGTTTTGACGGGCTGTCGGCCCTTGCAGCAGAGCTGTCTTTCAAGGGAAAGCTCCCCTGCGACGGCTCTGCCACCTGCCGAAGTCTGCTCGGGGGCTGCTTTCACACAGGGAGAAGGAATAATGTGCCCAGAGTCATTTTAAAGTGTTAAAACTGCAAAGAAAACCCAGGTGAGAAGGGTTGCTGGTAGGTGTGTGCACAGGGGAATGCCAGGGTGGCTTTTCCCCCTCCCTTGTCTCCGTTTCAGAGGTGCAGGTAAGGCTCCTCACCAGCCCTCTGCTTCCCTGTAAGGCTCTGGGTCATTAAATCCTTAAGAAAACCATGCCCTGGCCCCCGCCTCCTCTCCTCAGGTGATGTGGGTGCGGGCTGGTGTCTACTGGATGCTCTCCACCACCCAGCTGGTGGGAGGAGGAAGACCCATTTTGATCCGGGGCTGATGGGGTTTCTCCAGGCTACGTAAAGAGACTGCATTTCGTTCCAGCTGTCCAGCAATAGAATATATTTAACTTTAAAAAAACCAACAAAAAACAAAAACCCACAGTATCAAAACACAGCAAGTCACAATCCAATACTTGGCGATATACATAGGCATAAAAATGGTCCTCTGTAACCCCTCAGTTTGTGCTCCGGCACAAAAATGAAAGGCAGGCTCACCATCGGGGTGCAAACGGCACAGGTGGGCATGCACCCATTCCTTCCTTCCTAGGGTGGAAAAACCTGATATGCCCAAGCATGGCCAAAACCAAGGAAAACATGGACTCGAGCCAGTGACAGATAACTTATCCCCCTCCCAGCCTGTGGAGCAGCGCCTGTGTCTGTATGTGTGTGGTGGGTGGAAAAGGGGGTGCGGGTCAGCGTGGGATCGCTTGCTGGGTATTTGGGGGAGTGCTGCCATCACCTCCAGGCAGTGCCAGTGAAGGCAAGCCCCTGTTTTGATCCCAAGCCCAATGTGCCATTCCCTTTGACCTGCCTGCTGGAAGCATCCTTGGAGCCGGAAGATGGATTGAGCTACTCTCACCTTGTTGGTCCTAGAGTCTATGTGAACCCTTCACATCCCACTGCACTGTTTCGGTGGAGGGGACGGGGGGGGTGTCACTTTCCTCTGGCCGGTGAGTAGGTGCAAGAGAAGCGGGACTGAATTTTAGCCTGGCTCTAGTTGTGCATACGGATGACAGGAGGAGGAAGGATGGCTTGTGGGTGATATGGGCTCCTGTGGGATTCACTGTAACTAACCCTGGTTCAGCTGGTGCCACTGTCACCTGGGGTTTTACAGCACGCTGCTCCCACGGGGGGATGGAAAAGCTGAGTGCCAGTTTGGAAAATAAATTGCAGCACTGCCTGAAAGTACATTGTGTGTGTGTGAGCATGAAGAGAAGTCAGCTAGAAAGTACAGGGGTGTGTTATCATGCCGTGGTTAGCAAGCATGTGGGAGAAGCCATTGCTTTTGACCGGGAGGAATATCGGATCTAGCCAAGCTTATAGCTCTTCTTGTGTCTGGGCTTTAAATGTCAATGAACTCTTGGTGGTATCTTGTAGAGGATGCAGTTTGGGTTGAATAGTAATAAAATACACTCTGGCTGGAGTGTATGCATGTATGTGAACTGCAGGGTCATCCCAAAACAAGTAGGAGGCAAGGCAAGGGTGGAATAAAACAGCCTCCTGAAGAATGATGAGCCCGTGACTCTTCAGTTCCCTGTCCATGGAGCTCAGCACAATACCCCCTGCATCACGGCGAGACTACGACAAGGGGCGATTTCCAGCAGAACTGAAAGATCTTTAATAAAATGTGTGACAGTCGATGCACGTAGGGAGGAACATGCGGCTTTGTCTCGGGAAGCACAGGATGCAGCACAGATGGAGGCACCTCGCAAGTCTAACACTCCCTACCACACGGCTGCGTGCCGGAGCCGTTCCCGGCACAAAGGTCCACTGACCTTTCTGGCTGCAATTGCCAAGCACGCATGCCACAGCTGAGAGCGATGCCGACTCCCTGTGGCAAGCACAGTCTGGCGGGCAAAAGGCCAGGAGGGCGGGGGCCATCTGCCATAGCACCTTTTCCGTGGTAAGTACGGCTTTGGCAACACCAACGAACTTAGGAAAAACGTTAACGTGCTCTGCATTGAAATGGTTGGGCTGACCCAGAATGAAACTGGTTTACGACTGGCCACAAATTTCAAAAAGACGTTTGGTTTGGTTCCTACCTGGAATTGCTTTCCACTGAGTAGCAAATCAGCTGTTCAGCCCGGCTGGGTTCAAGTACCAAGGAACAATTTCATTAAAGCCCTTTTCTTCAGAAACCTGGTTTTCACAATCAGCGAAGAGCAGCAGAAAACACTGTGTTGCTGGTGGATGGGGGTGAAGCAATTGCATTTATTCTTCGTTACCTACTATCGCTCTTTAGCTGTAAAACTTGCATCTAAAACATCTATATTTAAAAAGCAGAAGATGATATCGGGATAGCCTGGTGCTATTCACCTTCGACCAGATCAAGCGTTCGTTGGCTGCGACCTCTAGCTGCACTGGCGAGGAGGCAGGGGTCGGTTTGCAGAGGTGGTGCGGTATGGCACGGCGGGCGCTAGCGGGATGGTGTGGCACGGCTCCCGCAAGTGGGAGGCGAGTTATTCAGCCCTGATGTTGGTGGGTGTCCCGGAGTGGGTGGCCTCCTTCTGCGGCGCTCTGGGAAGAGGCGTAAAAGTGCTGGGTGATTAATTTGGCCCTAAAGAGGAAGACAAGCATTGCTGACGGGGGAAAGCTCCAAATTAGCACTCATACCTGTGTCTTCACTGCGTGGCTCTTCTCACCAGTGCATGAATTGTGGGCACCACGAACATACCTTTGGCTTGCTGCTGGCTTCCCCACCGCAGGCTCCCCAGGAGCCCCTTGAGGGGTTGGGCTCTGCCTGGTCTGTCCGTGGCACAAAGCTCTGGTCTCTTATGAGGAGGAAAAACCAAGTCGCGGTGGGGGGCGTGTGTGTGTGATATTAAAGATGGGGCTGAGCAGGCCCCCCCTTGTGACCACTAACTCTTGAAATCCTGTCTATTGCCTCTGGCTTCCCCAGCCCTGCCCTGAGGCTCAGCCTCTGGGTTCGCTGCAGCACGTCTCCCCCCACTACTTGCCACAGGGAGACCTGAAACCAGGCTCAGGGTCTCGCCATTGCCCAAGAGCATGCTGCTGTTCACACCTGGACTTGGGGGGAGCTTGGGAGGTGCTGGTTTTAATCAGGACTATTGGAAAAGCGGGTTTTTTTATCATCATTATTACTGCAGCGAGGCAGCTTTGGTGAAAATGCAATTTGGTGCTTGCTCCCCAATAGCAAGGCTAATCTATAAAGTTGCTCCTGTCCTAAAGCAGACAGTGGGAATCTGTCTGGTGCTAATTAAAATCAATTAAGCAAATCCCCACAACAGGCAGAAATAAGGCCTTTTGTCCTGGGTGTCCATTTGACAGATTTCAGAGCCTCTGAAGTGGTGTGTTGGCTGTTTTCTTGGCTTCATCAATTTGATAGAAAGGTCAAAAATAAGAAAAATTTTTACAGAGCAAAACGTGAAAGTAAATTATAAATCCTGCACCTCTCCTGCATAGTGCTGCCGGTGCCAAACTCCCTCATGCAATAAATGCAGTCAGCACACAGATGTAACTGAAGCAATGCTCTCTGGAGACCTGTGGCAGTCCCGGGGAGGGCAGCATTTCCATACAAGCCCTCCCCTAACTATTCCAATTCTCCCATCCTCACTAGAGCACAGGGACAGACAGCACCAAACGTGGCCTGAAAGGCCCGCAAAATCCTGGCGATGCTGCCAAGGAGCTAATCCTGCCATTTTTTGTTCCCAGGGGACCTTTTGTACAGGTGCTGGGTCTCTGGGATGGGGCATCTGCTGCTGGTCTGACATCTGGTGCCACAGGAGATATGACTTTTGGCAGTTTAATGCCCAGTGAAAATGTCAGCTTGTTTAACCCTCCCCAGACTGAGACTTCCTGCACTGCCTGTCCACTAAATGTTAGAATCCATCTTCCCAGGCACCAGAACAAGTTGCTTCTAAGCCACGCTTGGCTGCTCCCGTTTCAGAGTTTCTGCACCCAAAGGCTTTGCCTGGTTTCTTTTCAACACCTCTACCAGCTGGCCTAGTGAAACCTGTTAGCCGTGTCTGCAGAGGCTCCTGCACATCCATCCCGAGACCATGGCTCAACTAACTCGATGCTCAGGCAGCATTTGGAGTTTGCACTTGAACCAGCCACTCTGTTTTGGCAAATGTGAAAGGCAACCACTGCTCTTGGACGTTGCGCTCGCTGCAGCTGAGCCGGCAAGTTGTTTGGGTGGCTTAATGACTAGTTACAAACCTCAAAAAGAGTTCCCACCGATCACAGCAGCAGCTTGTGAAGGTGTTTTCCAGCTGTACTACTGGTTCCCTGTTTGCTCCTGGTTAGGAACCTATTTATCCCGTATTTTCCCAGGTGGGAAATGAAGGAGCAGAGCTGCTCTGTCTCACAGTAAATGCTGAAGCTCAACTCTGTAACATCCGTACAGTCCTGCAAGCTACAATGCTGCAGATGCTACAGCACAGGTCACTGAGCAGCCACCCTCTCAACCGGTCCTTTTGGTAGAAATGGTCAGTGTTGAAATTGTTGAACATCATGAGCAGAAATCCTCTTGGTGATTGCTGTGGCAACGGCAATCTTGAGGAACTCATCCCTTGGCTTTAACGCAGATGTCAGATGGCTTTTGGTTTTATCTTTCCACCACTGACCTACTAGGAGTTGATTTTTTTAAAGTGCTGCTGTCTTGCAAGCCTCTCCGTGGCAAAGCAAGGTAACCACGCCTCGCTGCGGTGCAGCATCGTGGCAGGATAACTGCGCTGCTTTTCCTCTTGAGCACTTCCAGCCCTGGGTTAACAAGAAGCACTGATCGGTGCTTGTCTTCCAAAGAAACCCACTTCACTGCTGCCTGTGTTGTGTGGCTTGCATCTCTCTAAAAGTTGATGGTTTTTCATCTATCTTCCTCTAAAATTACAAATGAGCAGCTTCCCTGTCTGCACCATGTTATGGATCTTTGCTTTCTGTGGAGCAGCTCGAAAAGCTGAGCTCAGCACCCCGATTTGGATACAGGGTAGTTGCTAAATACCCATTTCTGGCTTGCCAGCATAGCAGTATGAGCCACTGCTTAGGGTGTGAGGTGAGAGAAATGCAGCCCGAGTTATTCCTGTGGTTCTGCCATGGGTTTGCTTTGGAGTCTGGTAATTTAACCTTACTGCATACTGCAAGGAGGCACGTGTGCTCAGGGGCACTTGCTGCCGTTTGACACCTCAGCTCTCTTTGCAACAGGAGGTATTTTAACTGACAGGATCTGCTCTGTGTAGAAAATGAAAACCTGCTTTAAAAGCAAACCATCATGCTAGGAGAGGCCAGGAGCTTGTAGGGCAGCGGGGTTTGCTGCTGTCCCCTTGCCCACAGGCTGCCTCTCTGCAGGAGCAATGGGCTGGAAGCGGGTCTCAGCTCTGTCACGCTCGGGTGGCTCCCAGTTTTGGCAGCGGGTTTGTGTGAAGCTCCTCTCGCTGGGAGGACCCTCCCCAGTCGAGAGCAGCAGCCCAGTTTTGCCCTCTTTCAGCAGGGCTCCTCCCGCCACCTTTTTGGAGTGGAAAAGCAGCCAGGTGCCACCACCAGGCCCCCCTGGCTGAGCTCCTCTCGCCCTGCTGAAACACCAGCCAGGATCAGAGGGGTCACTCCACCTGGGTGCCAAATTTAGCTCTGTGCATTGTGTGTTCAAACCATGAAAACACAGCCCTACCCCATTTGGCCACGGGCCTTCCAACTACAGCCGCTACCGAGCACCTGGTTAGCACCAGGTTGCGATCCTTGAGATTTGAGCACTTACCCTGGGGAAGCGGAGCGGGGACACTGCTTCAGCCAGGAGCACATGCCACGCTGTAAGGGGATCCGTTTCCAAAGCACGGAGACGCTTCCAGCAAGGCCCTTTCAGGAGGAGGGGAGGAAAAGCCTCTCTTTTTGGCTCCCCCAGTATTGTTTTACACTAGAAGCTTTTGACAGCACGTGGCTGCACCCACCACCCTAGAGGCAAGGTGCTGCGGGGCAGCGGTCCCTTGCTAGATAAAGTCTCCCCAGGGGCCAGCGGTAGGTCTGGTCTTCGCATGGTGCCAGTGGATGGAAGCAGGGGACGGCCCCAGTCAGTTCAGCAGTACAATACAATTTACAGCAAGCACATTTCTCAAGACATCTGCAAGGACAGAGCTTCATTGAGCATCATATATACACAGACAGCAGAGGAGGCTGGGCTGAGCCCTCCGCTACCACGAAGCAGTCAAGGATGGGCTCTCGGGGTGGGGGAAAAAAGTACCATTGGTTTGCTTTTACATACTGTACATATATCTATTAATAGCTCCTTGGCATTTGATGTTCACAGCCGGTTTCCTTTAACGGTGAGCGTAAAAAGGAGGCAAAACGTCTTCAGCTACTTCCCTCTGGGAGGAGAGAGAAAGCAGCATCTCCCGATCCCCCGGCTCAGCTGCCTGCCCAGGTGCCACCTTTGCCAGGGGTGTCTCCTTCTCCTGGCACCCTCCTCCTCCTCATCGGCCGCCCACCACGTGCTGGCCAGGGCCAGTCCTAACCCACGCCATGCTTGCCCCATCTCCGCTGCTCAATGGGATCAGTGCAAGTCTCCGTCGGCTGCTCTGCACCTCCGTTCCGCTGGACGGGCAGATGAACCAGGTTCAAACAGAAGGAAACAAAACAAAAGGAAGAAGAAGAAAGACAAAGGGTAATGAAAAGGTCCGTGGCCCACAGCTGCCAAAGGAAATCTCTCGCCGTGTTTCTCTGACCATACTTGTCCCAGCCACTACAGCTGCTGTGGGATCCCCTGTTCCTTGTAGCCTGTGAGGAGGGAGGGGAAGGGAACATGATTAGTGTTAAATCCTAATGAGGACCTTCGGCGAGGCTCAAGCGAGCCACAAGCCTCGTTTACCAGGAGTGGCAAACCATGTGGGAGAATAGGGGGGGCTGCCACGTGCCCCCTCGCCGCCAGGCTGCCCCGGGGCAGGCTCAGCCTGGTGAGCCGCCCTGCCTTGCTTTAGCCAACGCCTGCCCCGTGCAACCACGGGGTGCAACCACCTTCCTGGGCACGGTGGTGTGGCTGGGGGCAGCCAGCCTTGCCGCTGCAGTGCCTGCCTGCTACCGGCCCTGGCGTGGGCAGAGGCACGTCTGCTTGAAGAGGTTATAAAGGTACAGTAGGTACCGGCGGCCAGCAATTCTAGTATAGCCCAATAACCTAAAACCTTTACGGAAATGCTGTATTTTCTGCCTAAATTATTCTGTATCAGAGTGTGTTTTTCTGCAGTGTAGGGGAAATGTATGCCTTTATGTACTGCTCCAGAGACACCACTGTTCCCAGGCGTTGACCTGGCAGCTTGCTGGTCGTGCATACGACACACTCGCATCTCTACTTGCGATCTACCTCTGAACCTTGTCCTTCCAGAGGACTGCCAGGTGGGAGGAGGCTGGTTTCCTCTATCTACCTTTTATTTCCCGTGCTGGCTTTTGCTAACTGAGCTCTCCAGCAGCAACCAATTTGCACTGCGGTTTGCAGAAGTGAACAGACATCTCTTGGAGGAGAAGGGGGATGCCTTTAATCACAGGCTGACGTGTCAGAGTTCAAACGCAGACCTCGGGATGCCTCTGTGGGCCCTTTCCCTAATGATATTCTCACTGCCTTGTTATGCACTTGCTTTGCTCCAGCCCAGCAGAATTACAGATGCTTTTGTTGGGGCACATCAGCCATCTGGCGGGACTGGAGAAAACGGAGCTTTCCAGCAGCAAAACCAATTGCACTGGGAAACTGCCTGGATCCCTCCTCCTCCACCCCTTCTCCTCTTCCCCCGGCCATGGGGTCTAATGCACCTCCCGACCAGGGCAGCAAAGCCCTCGGGGGGGAGCTCTGTGTTGGCTCACACTTTCCTAGGTGGTTGCAATGACTGCACCAGAAGCTTTACCCGCTTTCTTTTTAAGAAAAGCTGGGATTGTTATTACGATAGTATCAATGCAAAAGATCTCCTTTTTAAAGAAGCAAACTGTCCTTACCTGCACTGCCTGCAATAGTGAAGATCTTTCAACTAGAAAACTTTAAAAAATCTGCAGGGTTTTTTTCTTTGTTTAAATAATGTAAGTAGCCTGTCATTTTTATATTTTGAATTTCAAAGGAGTCTGAAATTTCACATCTTGGAAGAATGCTTAACTCTTCAAACACTTTTCAATTGATGCTTTTTAATATTTCTTTCCAACCCTTATGCCAGGCTTTTGTAAGTCCCTTAAAAAAGCTGAACACAAAATACCAGCAGGTGCCACAACCCCTGCCTTTAAGGGACTTTTTGCTGAACTAAGAATTGGTCCCAGCAAATGAACTTTGCTGTACTTTGGAAAAATCCACACATTCACCCAGCCTTGGCAGTCTGGATCTCCTGCTGCTAAACGAGCACAAGGAATAGAGGAGGAGATTAATGACACTTATCAGCACATATTACTTTGCACCGCATTGCTGCCCATCGTGTGCAGCTGAACAGAAAGACTCTCACTTCTTTCAAACAGCTTTTTCTAGGGGGAAAAATTATGATTTCTTACACATTTATGTTCTAAGTGTGAGTCAGCTCTGAAGGCAAGTTGAGCTGGTTGGAAACCTGTAATATAGGCTTGTCTACAGCATCGGTTTAATTTGTTTAGGGAGCACAGTAAAAAAAAAAAACAACCAACCAACCACATGGACCAGAGGGTTGGCACATGCCATAAATCCTTAGCTAAAGTAAGCAAGCTAGGTTATGCTTACAGTAACTTGCTTGCATAGCCTTGCCTTTTATTAAGATACAACAGAAATCCTTTCAGTCCTGCTATCAGTTTTGAAGCTGGCTGGAAGCCAGTTACAGTGGCCGAGCCTGTATCTCTCTTTACATGACCAAAGTAAGCCAAAAGATGACCTGTCCTATGCTAAACTTGTTTATTAAAATACTTTATACTTAACTTATTAAATAGTTTATATATGGAAATAATTATTGCATTTCTTGCATAGTAATAGCTATTCTGTGTGAAGCAGCTTTACGTTAGTACACCTGCAATACAGTTAAGGTGCATTTCTGGGATCAAGGTCAAGTTGGTCCGAGTATCTGCGCACAAAATCACTGATTTAATCAAGTTTGCTTGAAATTGCACTTCTTCTGTAAACCACTGCAAGTAAGATTCAGGCAGAAAGAAACCAGTCCGTGCAGAGCCTGTCCTACTGGGACTGGGTTCATGCAGAGGGTGGTCTCAGGATGCTCTCGAGGCTGAAAGGGGTCCCTGCCCTGCTCTGAGGGTGCCCTTGGGGTAGCCCGAGGGGCATTTCAATGCTGGGCGGAGAACACATCCCCAGGGCTGTGCAGCCACAGGACAGACACAGAGACAGGCAGACACACGCACATACAGGCACACGGCTGGACTTGGGCTGGGAGCAGGCAGTGCCGGCCAAAGCGAATCCCAAACGGCTTGCCCTGGCAGAGCGCTCACTGTTCTCCGTGGGGAACTGCCACGGGGTGTGAGGAGGAGGAGAAGGAAGAACAGAAACAAACTTACCTTGTGAAACTTTGATGGTGAACAAAAGGAGGCAAAGGAACATGAAAGAAAGAGAGAGGGAGAAATGTAACTGTAGACGATATATCCAAAACACATGGAGAACCAGAAAAGAATGAGTAAATTTGGGCTGCAGAGTAAACAGAGAACAGCTGCTCTACCATCAGACATTCACACCAGGGCTAAACATTATTCAAAATCCTTGTACTTGAAGTGGATCATTTCATTTGGGGGTCTGGTTTAAAGAGGATGGGGGAATCCTCATCTGCTTTCCAGCTCACTGGCCTCGAGCTGGACAGGCTGGATGGACTAACACCTCTGAGCGATGCTCCCACAAACGCTTTCCTCCATGACATTGGTATTTCACAGGTTTGACTGAAGGGGAACCGCTGAAAGAAGGCGGCAAACAAGACGTCACAGCATATCGGATGGCGCATGGCACACCGTTCATGGTCCGAGAGCTGGGAAAACTATACCTGATGGCTTTCTGTCAGTTTTGCTGCTGAGTTTGCTTGTGCCCACACATAACTCACAACCGCGGCATGCCTCAGCCCGGCTGAATGCTGCAAACCCTGGTGGTATTTAACATTCCTACAATATTTTAAGAACTTACCCTACCGCAGCATTTGGCAGGAAACTGCAAAAAAGGGTATTTTAACTACTTTCCTCAGGCATAGTTTGGGGGACGGCTCTATTTAGATTTAAAAAAACCCATAATAGGTCTAAGTGGGCAATTTGTCCTCAGAATTTCCTTCATCTCAGTTACCAGCTGGAAACTGCAAAAAAGGGTATTTTAACTACTTTCCTCAGGCATAGTTTGGGGGACGGCTCTATTTAGATTTAAAAAAACCCATAATAGGTCTAAGTGGGCAATTTGTCCTCAGAATTTCCTCTCATGAAGGGTTACCAGCTGTTTTAGGATGTTGTTCTCTTTTGAGTCTCTCAAGCGCTTTCTGCTCCCTTTCCTTCCCAGGGCAGCTGCGCTACCTGCCCTAGGAGGGGCCCTGCAGAGAAGAAAGGCTCGGTGATACTTTCCAAAGTCCTCGGAGCCCAAGCATACAGTAACCATGTGATCATCTGCTGTTGCTTCTGGCAAGGTCTGAGAGCTGTAATTAGCAAAGGAGTGACAAGTGGACAGCATGATTACAGGTTATTTCTTACTACTGGCTGGCAATCCATCCCTCAGAGTCAGCTGCCCGCTGCAGAAGCAGGGGCTGCAGCAGGAGTCCCCGTCCTGTGAAACCACAAGCGATGGCGCCTTTGCTCGTTCATAGGCGCAGCCACGCAAGTCGTTACTTCAGAGGCCAGAGCGAGGGCTTCCTTCAGAAACCAGGCTTGACTTCTTGGCTGCATTCATTAGAGGAGAAACAATGCCTGGACAAACGGTCCCTGACTTCTGTCCCCTATGCCACCTCAGTGTGACATTACTGTATTGATTTCTGTGGTATTTCTGTCAAGAAATGGCACAAAACCTTTTATAACGAGCTCTGAGCAGCTAGGGAGTTCCTGGAAAGGCCGTTCCTCTGCCTTCATTCTGCACAATGCAGCTAATGAAGAAGTGTGCTGCGTGGGCTGGGGACAAGGTGTGCATTTAGCAGAGGGAAACTTGCCCAGAAAGCCTTAGGAGGCTCGTTTTCCAGTTGGCCTTGGCCAGCTAATTAGCTCTGTTTTGCCTCAGCTCCGTGCCTTGTCCCCACAGCTGTGACAAGGGGTTCGAGGAGAGCACGGTGTGGCAGCGCTGCCCAGCCACCACCAAGGGCAGCTGGATATTTGCAGCGGCAAGGGGAGAGTCCAGATTATTTTTTTTTGCAAAAGAATTAAGTGCTTCCTTTTAATCTACCTTTGCCTTCAGACAGCAGGTAAACCAAAGGACAGTTCCCAAAGCCATATGGCTGCTTAAAGAAAATATCTGTGGCGTTTAATGGGGCCAGCTGGCAATTCATTTAAAATAGTAGAGAAAATGCCCCATGCCATTGTGCTGCCAAAAATAATTAAGTGTGACAGTAAAACTGCATTCAATTAATCTTCTTTCTGGGATTCATCCCACTAAAGGGCACTTTACAGGAGATGAGGGCTGGACGGGACCCCTCGAGGTCAGTCGGTCTCCGCCTGTGTCCCACTTTGCTCCTGACAGACGTGGGTCTACCCGCTCCTGGAGTCCTCCAGTGACAGAGAGGGCAGATCCTGCCATGACACCTCTTCAGCATTTTGACCTTACTGGAGGGAAAACATGTCCTAATGTCCACACAGGTCTTTCCTGCTGTTATTTAAGTCTGTCTTAGGCTAAACTGCTGCCCTCTCACGTTTACTAGCCTGCTGAACCTCTTCGTTGCTTGCTGTCTCATGGTCCTCTGGACTCTCTCCAGGTTGTCCACATGAAGTACAGCCTCCAAAGCTGGCCACAAGCCTCGCCACAGCTTTACATGTGCCGAGAAAGGTGAGGGGACCAGTTTATGTCCTACAGGCTCTGCTCCTACCTGCCTGGGCAGTGTTTGTTCCCTCCACAGCAATGTACTCCTGTGCAGCTTGTGACTCATTGCAGCCACCACCTCCTTCTCTGGAAAACAAGTTGTTTGCTAGCATGTGTTTATGCAGTTGATTAATCCTTCCTTAGTGTCTTGGACTTGTCTCGACTGAGCAGCATTTATTTTTTCAGACTGTTTCTTCAATTTGCTTGAATCCGGATGCTGCCCTCGCTATGCCTGCCATCCTTGCAGCCGCCGGTGGTGCGGGGCTGGTAAGCCCCTTCTCTGGTCCGTCATGAAGCCACGAATGAAAATACTGAACAGAGCTGGATTCAGGAGGGACCTTTCAAAACACCTGTCCTGAGATCTTTCCAGATCAGGAAAATGCATTTAGAGAACAGTTCTCAAGTGCGTTTTCACCCAGGCCACGTCTCCCTGGCTTGCTGGTAGGAACACTGTGTGAGACGGTGTCAGTGCCTGAAAGTCAGGAGGGATGGCTGACTGCCGCCGCCACTCACAAAATGAATCCCTCTGCCACAGAAGGGAATCAAGCCAATCTGACACAGCTTGCTCTGGACAAACCCAGGTTGGCTTGCTTTGTTTCTTTTTATTTTCTAAATGCATCCAGGTAACTTGTTTGATTACTTCTTCCAGGAATTGAAGTGTACCTGGCTGGCCTATAATTCTCCTCCTTTTCCCCTCATTGAAGACAGTATGACATTATCCCCAAAGCTCTCCCCTCAGAGCAGGCTCCTGCAGGGCTCCCCTTTAATGGCTGAGAATTAGCACTAGAAGGTGAAAAACTGCAATGAACCTCCCTAACTTGCATCCAGCTCTCTACCAGCTGATATACAGGCAGGCCCTGATCCAGGGAGCGAGGCACTCATCCCTCAGGGAAAGCCGGAGCGGAGTCCCACAGGCTCGGCTGCTTCCCACCCTTCTCCTCACTGCTGGCCCCCCCTCAGCTTAGACACTGCCTGCTCTGCCCTGCCTTTAGCCCATGAAAATCGTATGGCACCCTTGCAGGAAAGCATGGAAACAGCCATTTCATGGTGAGGAAGACTAGAGGTGGGCAGTGGTTTAGCATTTTTTAACTGTTCTCCATCTAAATAGAGATTTGAGTTGCAACAGTGTACAGTTTCTGTCCAGTGCATCAAATCGTTTCTGTTTGCACACGAACCCAAACCAAAGCAAAATGTTTCCTGGCAGTGTTTTTAAATGAAATGTCTTATTTCTTGCATTTGGAATGTTGTTTCATTTTTAAGTTATTACTTTTTTTTTAACATGAAAACAAAACATGAAAAAACAAACCATTTTGGGTCTGACAGGGCTGTTTGATCCAGCTGGGAACAATTGATCACTTCTTTGTTTTGATTGAAAGATGAGTTTTTTCTTTTATTCTCCATCAACAAGAGCTGCTTTATTTAGCCATTATTTTCTCTGCATTGTAAGTAAACTTAAAACCCAGCTATTTAATGAAACAGCAAGAAACTGCCAAGGGCTGCAACTTGTCAGATTATATACAGCTGGTTAACATAAGACATGTTGACTCCTCTTACCCTTCTCTACTGCCACCAAAGCGGCTGGGATGAGATGCTGTTGCTGTGGTCGGGGACCTATTGGCCTGAGCATCCCCACCACACGCTGCCCACCAAACCAGTGGGGTCTAGCCAGGCACGGGAAACAGCTTTGGGGAGATACTTCCAAGCTGTATGTTTTTTCTCCAGCAACCAAACTGGAAAACCAGCAAGACCCTCCTGAGACCCAGCCCCTCTACCCGGAGGACATACAGGAACAGGACTATGGAGAAATGCAAGTAATGGTTTCAGCTGTAGCTCTCTAGCTGGATGGATGCTTTCCTGCCTCTCCCCACAACTGCAGAACTGGGTCTGCCAGGCAGCGTGCCGTGCATGGAGGCTGTCCAGCAGAGGAATAGCAGAAGAGTGTATGGTTATGAACACGTAATTATGGGATTACACAGAAATTGGGCAGGTTCTTAAAGACATATCACAGATGTACACCGATTCACAATTTATCCTCAGAAATAACTTGGGCTACCCCTGCTCTGCAGGTACATCTGAGAGGAAGCTTGGCAGGTGGTTTGCAGGGAAAAACGAAGGGCAGTGCTGCCTTTGTCCTGAGGAAAGCCTTTTGCCTTGGTTATGTTCAGGTTTTTAATACCCATCGTTTGCTCTGCATGGGGCTTGCCCTTAACTCAGCCTGTAAATTGAAGCTGGATCCGAAATTAGAGGTGGGTTGGTGAGAGGGTTTAACCCCTGAGTTTGGCAGCTGAAGATGTGCACCAGTTTCCTGCTCGTTTTTTTCAATTTCATCCATTTCCATCTTTAGGCAGGTGCCTGGCAATTTCCTGAGATCCTCTCTCCTCCTCTGTCATGCCGCCACAGATGTCATCAGCAGAGATGACAAAGCTGAAGGAGCCCCTTCAAACCAAAAAGCAAAAGCTGCTGGTAAGATGTTCTCTGGGAGAAGTGTTTGCTTTGGGAACTGCCTGCCCTGCCAGCCTGAAGGATCTCAGACCTGTTTGGTTTGGGGCAATGCCCACCAGCCTCTGCCAGCCTCTGGAAAGGGAGTGGGGTCTTGCAGACTCAATCAGCACCCCGAGTTGTGGGCTGCTTCTGGCTTTGGAGGTGAGGTGAGGCTGTCACCTTAATTCTCTGCAATATGATACAGGTGATATGATACAGATATGATACAACTTTTACACCAGTAAAAGTCTTTAGCAGATAAAGTTACAGAGCCTGTATTCTAGACTGGTAATATATACTAACTGGGTGACCTACATTATTTTTTAAAAAGGATTCCTCTCTTCTTCCCCTAGACTAATGTTTTGGAGGCTCCTTAAAGGGTGTAGGGGAGGTCCTTCTAGGAGAGGCTAAACATTCCTGCTCAGTTAAGAACTTGGTGTGAAACATGAAAAAAAGCCCTTGGCTAAATATATTCTGGGGAGGAAGGGGAGGGTCCAGGAGAGTCCCCAGGGCTTTTCTGGGGACAGTTGGCCCTGTGTGCTCCCTGGAAGAGGAACCAGCCTCACAGGAAGGTCTCGTTAACCACAGAGGTGCAGCTGGAGTCACGAGGGAGAAAGGGCTTTCTCATTCTGCGGATGGGACCGGGGCAGAAGGGGCTCCAGACAGCAGAGTTCACAGTGCCGGGGGTCCTCACCCCTTCCTGCACTTTTCATTTTACAAAGGGGAAAGGAAGATCCTAACCTACATGGTGGGATGGGAGGCTCTTCCAGATGTGTCATGGGGCCCATCCCAACTGCCTCCTAGCAATTCTTCTGTCTACTGTGTTTCTCATGGACTTGCAGAGCCCATCCTGTGGCTCTTCTTCCCTACAGTGCAGTCCAATGGCTTGCAGGGACATTAGCTGGAACCCAGCAACATGGCCACAGAGGGAATTGAGGAGGGTGAGTGCGCTGTACTTACTTGCGAGAATGACCATGTCCATCCCCCAAAATATACTCATAATCCAGCCAACCATCACGATTGCCGTCAGGATCTGAATCAGAGCAGCAGCAATGTTCAGCCAGAAGACACAACACATATGCCTATCAGGGAGGTCGGTCCGGGCTCCGCACAGCACGGTAAAAGCAGATACAAACGTTCCTAGGGAGAGAGCAGCAACAAAACGCCCAGTGAAAGCCACGGCTTCATGCCAAATTCCTTCCCTTAGACCCACTTCTCATAGCATCCCACTTCTTGTGCTCCCATTGCAGTGCTGAAAAGCTGGAAACACGTTACAGGAGGACAAGTGGAGGCACAGCCATATCTCACTTGAACACACTACTGTCTCCCATTGAATTACACCAATACGTATACTTGAAAACCAGGACAGAAAAAACACTCTTTGGGTTTTGGCTCCTTCCCCCACACCTAACAGTAACCACTTATGCACTGTAGGCAGTTTACAAGGGAGTGCTGTGTGTCTGTGGAAATACCAGTCTACCTTTTTTCTGCCTGGTGGCTCTCTCTTGGGGAGAACATTTACTACACAGAAGCTCTAAAAGGGAAAATTGCACCCAGAGTTAGAGCAGGACTGGCTCTAGAAAGCTGTATGGGTCTGGCAGTCTGTTACTATCCACAAATACTGCTCTAGAAAGAGCATACAAAAAAAAAAAAAAGGGTGCTAATGTGGCACCGCATCTTTGCACAACGCTTTCCCCAGTCACAAGTTGTTACCCAAGAGCATGTTTTAACAAAGCAGAAGCAACTAAACCAGTGCTGGAGCCAGGCGACCTGATGTTGCAGCCCTTGGCTCTGCTTGAGACCAACTTGCAAACACCCTTCAGATTTCCTAAAACATTCAGATGAAGGATCTTGTTGATGTATGAAAGTTAAAGCTGGGGGAAAAAAAAACTACACCACAGCAGCCTTTACAAAGATTCGTCCTGAATTTACCACATTAGACAAGCCTGATCATTTATCCGCAGCTGATATCCTGGACCCGTGGCTAGCTGAAACCCGCAGCTCGGGGAAGCCTTGTCTGTCCCACAACCAACCTGCAGAAATACGCAGCATGGGCAAAGAGCAGAAGAAACTGTTTCTGACCCGTATAATGTATAAGCTGTTGGCCAGGAGGTTCAGTCACTTGATCTAAGTAAGCATTTCAACACCTCTTATCATTATGAGTTGTCTTTGGGGCTTTTTTATATAAATACAGCATTGCTAAGGTAGGTACAAAAGTGTAATGTGGATTGTACTTGATAACATAGTTCTGTGAAATGCTTTCTTTAATGAATGTCTTGAATTAAAAATCCTGCAGCATGATGTCCAGTGGTTTCTACAAAAATTGCCCTTTTTCCTATCAAAGGATGGAAGCCTGCAAACGCCCGGTAAGATGTGAATGAATGAGCTGATCTTCAATGCACACAAGTGCCTTGTTGAACTCAGGGGAAGAAGGGAGTCCCTCGGTTTGACTGAAGATGGGGAGGAAACACTCAGTTTACACCCTTCCAGAAGACCTCAGCAGACAGAGAGAGCAGAAGGATCCGGTTAGGAGCAAAATACCATTTTGTCCTGCGCTGCCAGGATGGTGGAAGAGATAATCTCTTCCATTGCTGCCTCTTCTTCAGTGGGTCACAAGGAAAACAGGCAGTTAAGATGTCGAAATGCTGGGGAAGGATGGCTACAGCCTATTTTTAATCTCACCATCCCCTGCAGGCTTCAACTCCAGCACCTTCCTAACACTCCACCAGCTCCTAAAACCCCGCTTGTCTTCCTGCCGCTGGCTCGAACTGATTTCTTACTCCCACCCGCTCCCTTTGCCGCACGCCGAAGCCGGGCACGGAGCAGCCGCGGAGCAGTACCGCAGCGGAGGGGAGTGGGTGAGCGCTGCTGGGGCGGTGGGAGGCAGCCCTACAGCAGAGCATAGCGGCAGGGAGAGGGGCAGCGTCTTTTCCCATGTGAGAAATCCCACCCCCCCAGGCTTCGTCCTCTGACTGCTCGGCTTTCACAGGCAGGGTTTCACCCCCTTATCCACCGAAACAAAAGGGTCTGCACAGAGGAAAAGGGGAAATCATTTTAATCCCGAAGGATGTTGTATAAGTCTCCCCATTGCTTGTTAAAAGAAAGGCTGTCTTTTGCTCTGTAGCTTTGTCTTCCACATCTTTTGTGTCCTCCATGTGGGATTACGTTGAGATCTCTGCCCCGCTTCACCTACCTTTTTTTTCCTTTAGTTTCTCCAAAGCAGAAGGAAGCCTGGAATATTCCCTCATGCTTCCTGAAACTGTTGTCTGCAAAGTTACACCACAGCACTCTCTGAGATTAAATATGGATTGAGGCAAGATCAGAGACTGGGTGTTTACGTTTTCCCATCAGGATGCAAAATCTTGCCAAATGGAAATGCATGTCTCTTTTTAAAATTAAAATGAAAATCTTCCCCTCTTGCCTTACCTTTAGCTCTTCCAAGATGTATTACAAAAAAGGTCGTAAATGAGCAATAATTCTTAAGCTACAGCTTCAAATCCTTCCAGTGAAGCTTTTAAGATTTTTACATCATTAGAGCGAGGTGCTGAATTAGCTAATTAATCCCATAAACACCACAGTGACTAAGGTAATGTCTAGTCCGTTCAGAAAGGAATAAAGCAAACAAAGCAGTTAAGTGTCCCTCTCTGGACAGGGAATTGATACAGAAACTAGGATTAAAATCTCATGAACCTTGGCTTCTGATTCAGGCCACTTTCCTACTCACGGGAGCCAATTCATTTTCCAATGCCAGTGCATTTTCTTTATCAATTATGATTAGCTAATCTTTGCGAGGTTGTTGGCATTTTTAAATACAAGACTTGAGACATGCCAGCAGACATAAAATGGAAGTATTTTTCCTCAAGTCCACATATGCTTTAAAATATGAAGCAGAAGAAAGAGTCTTAAATGCATTTGCCAAGGTATATGTTTTCCCCTTAAGAAGCCATCATAGTTACACATTGCTGAATATGGAAGCATTTGCATCTGGAAGCAGAGAGGTGGCGAGGAGGAGGAGGAAGGCAAGCAAGCTGTATCTGCTGATGCCGCCTGGCTGCATCAGAGCTGGGGCACCAAACCATTTCCCTTCATGACCAAGCATTCAGACACTTGAATACCTATAGCCTAGAAATCATAAACTTGGTATGCAAACTGCAGCTGGGATGATGTTGGCCAAATAAATCAGCTGCCCAAAAAGGTCTCAGGCTGTGAGCGTAACCAGCAAACACAAACTGCTAACTTTGCAAGCAGATGTAAACTAAAAGCCCCTACAGCTATGCCAGCATAATGTGAAATAAGTAAATCATATCAAGCATTTCTTATATATTGCCAATGAAAAATACCCAAAACACAGTAAAATCTGGGATTATTCTAAATCGTGAATTAATACAGCCTCTTTGGGGAAAGAGGGGAGGTGGTGGAGAGAAGATGTCCTGCGCTACCTAACGAGTCTGTTGGTTCAGCTTCATGGGGCATCAGGGCCCATTGCAATCACCTGGCTGAGCCATACGGCCCACCTGGCACCCGGAGCCAGCAAGTATCAGGGGCTGGGCAGAGGGATGGGTGGGAGCTGAGGTTTGCCCTTCTGGAGCAGCTGTGGGACAGAGGGTGAAGGCACCATGTGCAACAAGGCTGGGAGGGGATGGGAAGCCGAGCTTGCTCTTTCAAGTCATCTCATCTCATCTGGGGCAGTGTCAGCCAGCCAGGGCACTGCGTGCCATTTTCAGCAAGGGAAGAAAGCCTCTGGGAGCCTGTGTTTGCTTTTGCTGTCAGCAGAATTGGGGTATTTTTAGAATACACCAGTAAGTATGGAAGGCTTTCTGTTTTCAACAGTTTAACCCATTGAACGTGAAGGGGATGTGTTCTCTGTAGGACAACACTGTAAAGGGAGAGACAAAGGAAGGGTTTTTGCCCTTTCTCTCCTCTCCGGTCCACTGTCACACAGGATAAAGTCCCCTCTCCAGTGTATGCTGGTACCCTGGCAGCCATGGCCTTCCCAAGAGCATCACCTGCTGGTTCCCTGGCCTCACAGAGTACACTGAAACAGTATGAGAAAGGAATGGTTTGTTTTTTTCTCTTAGAGGAAAAACCCACACCCTAGAGAGAGCTCTCCTGGTTTACTACTGTTTGGGTCACTCATCTGGGGTAGAGGAAAACATAAGGCCAAGCCCATGGCCTGTCCTGAGCAGAGTCTCCTCCGTACTATCTGAGTGCAGCAGTGACTGTGTTATGGAATATCTCAAGCTGCATGAGAGTTTTTCTCTCCTGTTTTTGCAAGAAAGCCTATCCTGGGTGCTTCTGCAGGAGCTTCAGCCAGACATGGAGCTTGGCATGTTTCATGTGGAGGACCTGGCTGTGAGCAAACTTCTGATGGCACCTTCCCAGAAACATCAGAAGTTGGAGCCAGGGTGCAGACCAGAGTGAGATGAGACACTGATGGCCACGGTGTAAGTAATTTGAGCACACAGACAACTTTCTAGTAGGCTTCCCGCTGACTATCAGATATCTGAAACTTCGCAACAGAAAGCATCTCTGCTGCAAGGAAATCACATCTGATGAGCCACCCTGTTACAGGTAGAGGAACAACAGAAACCCAGATTACTGCGGTCAGGGGCAGCATGTGGAGCAGCTGGTCATGGTCCCTACCCTACAAAAACCTGGAGCCAGGGAGGGGCTGGGAGACACCCCTTCCTCTTCCCACAAGCCTGGAGGTTATTTAAGAGGTTCCCTTATAGCACTGGGAGTAAATAAGGCAGTGGGATCGTGCCTCCTTTCCTGCTCCCAGAGGGAAAAATGGGACTATGTCATGATGCTGGAGCACAGCTGCAGGTAAGCACAGGCAAAGATGGGAATGAGAGGGGAATGAAATTTGAGGTGTCTGTAGGAGCAAGGAAGGCTGTTGGAATGACAGTGGGAGATGTAGTTAATGAGTGCGTGTTTTGTGGGGATAAGATTTACCTGTATAGCTGTATTGTGTCAGGGGAGCGCTCTGTGTGGGGACACATCTGATATGCCTTTGAATTTTTTAAGTAAAATGATTATTAGCTGTCATTAAACAATGTTGGCAGGTATATGAGGCAGATGTTGTGGATGTGCTGAAAATTCATGAGATGTGCTGGTTCTTGCTTGCATGAGTCAGAAAAATTGTGTGAGAAGGGTAATAAAGATTGCACTTGTTTCCTCAGTATTACAGTGAATGTGGTATCTATTGGTTAAGACATCCTTGGGTCCTAAGTGTCCTGTATTTGTTTTTATACTCTAGTTTGAACTGTGAGGAGTTGTTTCAGTTGTGGAGGCCTTTCATCCTTGGTATCAATCCATATGCTAAGCTGTAGTCCTTTGGATTATGATGAGGGAAAGAGCACTACTAAAACTTGCCCAAGAAAGGGCTATAGCAGCATCTGCTGATGCCGAAAACGTTTCCCCTCCGCTTACGTGGGTAGAGCTGGGCTACACAACAAAATGAAATTGCTAAGCATTAATACTCAAGCTGACTATCTGCTGAAGTTTCCTAAAGCAGAGAATTGTTTGTGTCTTTGCTTGAGAAAACAGACACAAGGTGAAACCCCCTGGAGGCATTCTGGCCAGTGCAAGTCCTCACCAGCGTCACCAGTTTCCCCCTTGCTGGAACTCAGTAGGGCTTAGGCTGCATCAGCGAGAACCTGCCAGCACAGATGTATCACCTAAACCCTCCGAGATGAGTGCTTTCTTTCCAAGCTTAGTGCAGCTCTCTGAACAGAAAAGGCTGGTCCAGAAGAGCACTTGCTGTACTTGTGTGTGAACTACCATGGCTCTTGGCAGTTTGCAAGTGCAGCGCTCTTGTCAGGGTCTCCACCATGCCTCTTCTTCCCCTGGCCTCCTCAGAGAGCTGTGATTGCGGGCAGGGGGCATGCAGCGAATCTCTCTGGTTTGCAGCAAAAGCAGAGGTGCAGAGGCTGGAGGGTGTCCTCCTGAGGAAGCTAACCATTCTCAAATGCCTGGCCCTTGCTCCATGGCCAGATGTGCTCCTTTGTCAGGAGGCATATTCCCACCCAGTTTCCTCAGACACACTCAAAGCAAGCAACGGAAGACACCGACCCACTTGCCATTCAGCCCCCTCTGAAAACAGGTGCACACAACTACAGCTGCACTCCTGGAGCAGAGCATCCAGCTGAAGCGTCTGTGGTCTTCTCACACCGAGCAGCTTGGGAGTGCTGAAGAATTCACGCTGCTGCTATGGGTTGGGGCCAGTGCTTAGTCCAGGGTACAGAAGCTGTCATTTACACAGCAATTCTTCACCTGTTAGTGGGTGCTGGACTTGTTGCTCTTGAAATATAAAGAACGTAGAGATGGCAAGACTGCAACACAATGCTGCAGCATCAGCAAGGTTTAGGTGTCCTACCCAAGACAACATGCAACCTGAGTGTCAGTGGCATCCCCTATAACCTTCCCCTTGTAGTTCATTTCAGCCATGGAAGTAAGCCAGGACTCAGTGCAATTACCTGGTTTTCTTCTAGAAATAACGGTCTTTTAGACCAACATCTTAAAAGCTTGGTTTTTAGGCTAAAGTTTAATTAAACAGACACTGGCAAGCTTTCTTCCCCTTTCCAGTATCCATACAGACTAAAGCCTACCCCTGCCAAATACAGTGCAAGGGGGCTGGGGCGGATAGGTGGCTTTAATGACTTGGGAAAGAAGAGCAGGAGCAGTGGACAGCTTAGAAAACAGGAGGCTTGCTTGGTCCAAGGCAGCACATCTTGGAATTGAAAATCTGAATCCCACGTGCACAGGCCAGGCGTAACAAGCACTGCTGCAAGGGGGGGAACATCAATGATGTGCAGAAACCTGGTGGCAAAGCAATCACCTGCAAATGCCAGGTCTCATGGACAGTAGTGCGGGCAGGACCCGGGCAAGAACAGCAGGAACCGAAGGGTCGGAGAGGGAGAAGAGAAAAGGAAGGAGGAGAGAGTGGAGGCAGCGAATGTGACAGAACCTAGATGTTGCCATGGAGAGTAGCTCATGAATTTTCCTCCATGGCCTGCTATTAAAAATGCTTTGTTTAGCTTCTACCAGCAAGTTGTTTTTATTTTCCCCTTCCATATCGGAAGGACGTTCAAAGTGAATTCTGGCTCTGTTGGGTCCTTTTGGCCTTGCTACGGACAAAAATATACAGTCGCTTGACAAGTGAGAGCTGGTGCTTGCAATTCTTGTCTCCACAGGATTTGTTCCAACTCCCAAGTCTGCAGAAGGCAGGCTGTATATAGGATTAGCT